TGAAACCAAGCCCCGTCTCGGTCAACGGGAACAGGAGTCTCGAACGTTTGAATGACTACATTATCCCGCCTCGCGATACTTACGGTTCGACCATCCCTCAACATCTGTTCCCGGGGACTTCCGGGAAAGGTATCAGCCCCGCGATGCACCATTCGCATGCATACCCCATTATGTCTTCCTCCCGCATTATCTTGGCATTGATTAACGAGCCCCGACCGTGAACAAGAACTCAGGAAACGAGGGCCTCTCTGATACGACGAAATGGACTCGAACCGAATTTGCAAACAGCCACCGAGCGCTGTGTGTTGGCTGTGTACCCTGTGCAGGCGCAGTCTGTACACTGTCATCGAGCGCTTAGGATTCTGTGTCGGTTCGCCAGCGCCGGGAATTAAAGTAGAATAAGAGGAATGCTGCGGACACCAAGATACATCGCCGCGACCCGCGTTCTCCGGCCGGGAATTAAAGCGGAACAAGAGAAACGCTAAAAATATTAAGATACCGCCACAATCCACTTACAAAAATTTCAACCCGAGAGAACAAACTATTTAGAATATAAAAGGGCCCGTAAATTCGCCAGCGAAAATTGCCAACCGTCGAGCAGATATTTTTTTTCATCCTACCGGCCTATTTCCTTCTGCCCCCCTTCTGCGTTTTTACATTGTAAAACTAGAAAGTATTACTGTTTTTTTTCACGATTATACACTTCATGCTTGTACGTAGGGGTACCAGAATTTATGGAATTTATTAATAAGAAAAAATGGCAGCATTATTCTCTGTGGTGTATCACGTTTCTTTATGATGCTTGGATGAATAGTGGTATTCTTAATAATTGTTTAACTCCTTGCACTCGAACAACTAGTCAAATCGATGACGAGTTTCTTCTAAATCGAAACAAAATTTGATTCTTCTGTTATCAAAAGCCGGGAACGAAATTTAATGAAGACATACAAGAAACACATTAAATAGTTAATTATAAGGAAACAAACATTGTCTCGTTCGATTTTAGAGATTTGATTCTTCTAGAAAATTTGATTCTCCTGTTATCAAAAGCCAGGAACGAAATTGAATGAAGACATACAAGAAACAAATATTAATTAATTATTAAGACACAAACATTGTCTCGTTCGATTTTAGAGATGATTTCAATTCTTCGAGGAACTCTCAAAATCGCTTGCACAACACAAAAGCAATGCAGATGCTGGATAATTGAATACACCGAATCGCCAGAGCAACGAGAACGTCGAAAATGGAATAAATTGTGGTGAAATCTGTGTGATAAAAATTAGTTCGACTGTCGATACGTCGTGGAACCGCGAGAAGACGCGGGAAATTGTTCGAACAGTAGAGTCCGATTGTGCTGCATGATTTTTCTCGGAGTGCTTTCGACACCTCTCGAGGCTCCTTTAAAACGACTCCAAGGAATCATAGGCGTTGCAACAGATTTCCACGGCGCGGGAGAGGGCCATAACGCGTCAAAATGATACATACGGTCCTCGTACTTCTCTCGTTTCTCGAGAGACCCCGAAGGGGAACGGCAGGAGATAGGGAGAAATGGGTAGAGAAAGGGGTTAATATTCAACGCGGTGAGTTTATCGGAGAAAAGGTCGCCGGTATAATTTGACTTCGCCGGGTCTGAATAATCGATATACCAGCAGGCGAGTATCCAATACCCGGAAACAGAGGCGAGGCTGATCGGGAGTTTAAATTGGGTGGAAATTATTCGTCTCTTCCACCGTGGCTACGTGTTCATGGCGAAGTGGGGGGATGGGGCTGTGTTCACGCGTTGCGGTCACCCACGACAGTGTATATGCACTTTCAGAGGCGAACGAAACCTTGAACTACTGATCGAACCGCACGATTATCTTCTACATAATTAGAACGAATGAAGGCTACGATACTCTATGCAGATTGGATTCGAATAGCTCGAATTTTGTTGCTCTCGCCGACGCGTTTCCCTCTCCCTGTTACTTTACACCTTCCAGACTTTCGAGACTTCTAAGACTCTACGAAATAGAGCTTTTCTATGCTTCCACGATTTTCTTAAACTTCTAAAGCTTTCAAGATTTCCTAGATTCTTTACTGTTCCAGACTTTTTAAGCATTTAAGACATCGTGCAATTTTTAACGATTTAAGTTCTCGAAAGCTGGGGGCATTTTAAAACTTCTTAGACTTTCTCTATTTTCTAAGTTCGCTAAATTGCGAGGGTATCGTGTTTCATTTTTTTATATACTTTCTGATCAAAGTTTAGAGTTTGTAATGATGTCACTCGTTCCGGATTTTCTGAATGTTGTACATTCTTTAGACTTTCAAGAGTTTCTAATCCTTCGATTGGAAACATTTTTCAGCATTCCTAAAATTATTGAAACTATCGAGGCCGTCTAAAATCGTTGAAAATGTCGCTCTTTCTGGATTTTCGAAATATTTTGTATCGTCAAGCTTATCAAAAGATGGTTTAATCTTTCGAATAGATCCGGGGTACAAAACATTTCCAGGCTTCTCGTAAATAACAAAAATTGTGCAACACCATTCTTTGAAACATCACGGTACAAATTCGCAGCAGACGTTAAATCCCGAAAGCTCCCATTTCGAAACGATTTCAGCCATTTTAAATCCCATCACTATCTCGGTCCGAGACAAGTGGATTTTAGTCTCGAGATGCATGCATGCACGTGTGCGAAGGGCGGGTATATTCGTGTCAGAGACCAGGACGCGTGACGAATATTTACGGGTCCGCCTTTCTCGTCCAGCGGAATAAATTTATTAAACGCCTCCGCGTTTCGATAAATCGAGCCCGACTTCGAGGAATCGTCGCCCGAGCTCTGGTTCCGTTGCGCCGGTTCGCCTCTCGGATTAATTGGTGACAACCCTGGAATAACTGACGTGAGAATCGATGGATAATATATGTTTCATACGGGGGTTCACGGTATTGTTCCAAAAATATAGTAGATTTCCGATGAAATATTGATCGGGTACAGTCTTATTAAATTAGGAGATTGAGTTTGGTGCAAGACAAGTGTAGAAACTTGGTTTTATGTTCGATCAATAATGCAGATACGTGAACGTCCTCGAACTTTCAGATTGATGGAAGTTGTCTCTGCCTCTTATCAATTATTCACGTTACGACAAGTGGATGGAATTAGCTGCATTCAGCCCAGCGCATCGATAACACTCATTTCTCACATCCGAATGCATCGAATCCGTGGATCAGGGTAACAAATTCCCAAAATTCTACCCCACTTTTCGCTCCGCAGTTAAATATATTTTAAACATTCGCTAACAAATACAAATATGGAAAAATTGTTGAAAAGTTCATCGGACCGAATATGGAAATATTTAAAAAGTTCACTGGAGCGAACGTAAAAATATTTAAAACGTTCGTCGGAATAAATATAGAAATATTTTTCAAAAGTGATCGCCGATAAATATGAAAATGTATAAAACCTTGATTGGAGTAAACACAAAGTGATTTACAAAGTTGGGTGCAATGAACATGAAAAAAATGTAAATAGTTCATTCGAGTGGATGGAAAAATATTTCAAAAGTCCGTTGGGCTATGATAAAAATACGAAATTCAAGATTCGCCGGAAAGTTTAATTTAATTTTCATTTGCAAATAAAAACGGAACAACGGTTCCGTTTTCAGCGGAAGAGTAACACGTTTGGAGAGTGGAACGGCCGTTAAAACCAGTTAATAATTTTAGCGGCGTTTCGTTGCAGCTAACAGTAAATGGTGCCAAATCTTCCAGAAGCCTACTAGTTAATCTCTTATCCCTACAAAAGCCCCAGTGAATCCTTTCCCATCCTCCGTTTCACGGTGTCCTATATACATTCTTTCAGCACGGAAACGGACCGTGCACACTCGCCGACAATATTCATAAAAATCGTGTTCGTGTGTCACGGTAAACGGCGGTCGGTAAACTGGCGTGCCGTTTCCGTGCGTTTTTTCCCGAGCTCGCGTGAAATTAGAGGACGATGCGTTCAAGCACGAAACGATGTAAAGGGAATGCGTAATGCGTGTAGATCGAAAATATTCCCGTGGCTGTTACACTCGTTCCGAAAATAACCAGCGCTCGGTCGCGATAAATTCGCGTGATCGAAACGGAACTGAAACGAACCGACCCGTGCCGTGTAAGTATTCCGACATTTACACTGCTCCCATAAAATAGAAAAAATACGGCGCCAACCAAAATCCTTCCGATGAAACAATATTCGCCGTTTTGGTCAGTATGGGCACAGTTCGCGTCGCATTATTGAAATTACTGGTTCGCGCTGGATCAAATGCGGCACAAGCTTGTCGAGCGAACTTCTGTTGTATACATTGTCAACAAATCTCTGTTTCCGCGCGCGAACTTTCGTTTTCGCTTATAAATGTTGCCGCGACCTTTGACTTGACGAATCGGCAAACAATCTCTGCGCCCACAAATTGCGAAGCGAACTTTGAATTTATAAATTGTGCACCAATCTCTGCTTCGAACCGTTGGCGCGAGCTTTGATTGCCTATTAAAGCGTCCACCAATCTCGGTCCTCAAATATTGGCGTAACCTTTGATTTTCTAAATTGTCAATCAATCTCTGCTCGTATATATACAGTTCCGAAACCAGGTATTTTTCTTCTATTAATTTCCACTTTGACGCGCATCGCCGATGCAGTGAATTTCGAATAAAACTAAACCGGTTCGTTTAACGCATCGAATGAATCTCCGGCCGAAACGCCGTCGTCTTCCGCGCGCCACGGAAACCAATTAATATTAATTCAGTGAGTGATGCGATTGGCCGGGGAACTGGCAAACATGGAACTGTATTTTCAGGAAAACGATCGCGTAACAATTCACGGCGTAATCACAGTACGAAGTAAATAGTGGCGCGAATCCAGATTGTCCAAATGCGCATGGATGACAATGTGTGTTTGCGCGGGCGCGCTGCAAACATGGCCGAGCACATCGCCGGAATAGGACGCGCGGCGTCTGGAGAGAGTATTAACGTAGAAGCGTTGTCTACTTACACTGCAAATTGTTGTACGACAGAGACTGCCGTCGCATTCTGCCCTGGCTCGTTGCCTTTCTTCGACTGCTCAGCCGACACCACATGTTCACTTGCACGTACGACCAGAGCTTCAGGAACAGGACCGCGTACAGCATGCACACGAACATCGCGCCGACTGCAACAACCGAGAATTAATTCTGCGTGGGTATGGGTATGGGAGACGGGTTTGATGCGTGCGTACGTGTATGTAACGGGGCGCAAACTATTGTGGCAGCTTGTCCTTCGAGACTAACGTCTGCTTCCTACCTGTCGCAAACCTACAGAGCTCGCGATAATCTCTCGTCAAAGTGTATCTGTTTTGATCACGAATGGCTGATAACGACGTAGGTAACGAGAATGTCGCCTTGATCTCTGCCTAATGGGTACCTATGCGCCCTAGGCCCATCCTTTCCTCGTCCCATGATCTTATCTATACGTCTCTATTGTGCCGAAAGTCCCCCTCCCACTCCCGCCGTCGGCCAACTTTAGTCGCCGTAACAGCTTAGGATCGGCACCTCGAATTTTTAGTTTATTCTCTAGCAGAATCGTTAAACTTTCCGCCAAACGAAACACAATGTGCCGTTGATACGCTCATATTGATTTTGTAATTTCGCTCCGAACACCATCTTCGTGGATTCGAAATTTTTCGCGGCGCCGCTTATCTGATTGGACCTGGAAAGGCTGTAAACTGGAGTTCTCGTCTCTTAATTGTATTAGGTCTTGGCCGGAATGGCAGTAATAAAAGTGTTTACTGCATCACTTAAACGTTAACTATCAGGCTGTCATGGTCTCTATTTGCGAGCACGCGTACTTAACGCAACCACAACTTTTGCTATCACCTTCTCGAGACCGCGACGCAGAAAGCGTTTCCCTTAGATTTTATATTCATGAAAAATTCATTCTCGCGACGCTCTAGAATTTTTCGGGAATTTATGGGACGGAAGAAAGCTGGGGAGATTAATCGCGACGTCAAACTCTGACCTTTCCGCTTTCCGGTCCAGACTTCTGCGAACGTAAATGACCGACGGAGCCCGCAAGATCCTAAATGACTGAAAGCTCGAACTTTCCGGTGCACCGCGGGGCTAACTATATGTTTGGAATTGAAACCATAACCGGATATCTCTAACCAATCACTTAAACTTCGTAAATTTCGTTTCGGTAATGCAGCAGCTAGTTAAGCCTCGTTAAACTCGGATTAATCCGTTCCCGGCGAGTATTCGTGTACATTACAGTTTTCTAACTACCGAAGTTCATCCAGTTAGCAAGACAAGTGTATCCCGTAGTTCCCCGGCTCGCAACATCTCTCAAGGCTACTGATCAGGTGGCTCGAACATCTATCCTGATAATAGCCATCGCGTATACAATGCGTACCGAAGTTTGCCAGCTGGATTCTATTCACCAGTGGGAACAGGAGAAGCGTGTTCCTGGCCAGACACGACGATGATGTACGACCGCGGCTCTTGCAAATCTGAGATCGAAGAATACAACGGGATACAATCTTCGCAACGGATTAATCAATGGTCTATCTCAATCTCGATGGGAATCCGCGATACCGCACGCGGACCGCGAGACGTCTAACTTTCTATTTCGCGTCCGCGTTTCGCCGCGCGCTATGCAAAAGCTCAAACTTCAAGAAACATTGGAAAATTGCTACCGCGAGACGTTACCGCAGCAAATGATATGTTTTATCCCTGTGTGCATTGTAATAAAAGTTGCGAACCCGTTGTTCTTAAGGGGGAATACAAACTGGGTAATTCTGGTTTTAACCACAGGTAGATTAAACAAAAAGGAACAACCCGTTCCCGCTCTTATATGCGTAAGAACTACAGGGCCGAATTTATTTCGAGATCTTGCTGTTTCTGCTACAACGTGTGCTTGAATAAGAAATTTATTTAACCAGTTTCTACGCAACGCTTCTTGTAGTTTCAACCATTTCTAAATGAAAATATGAAGTCGTTATTTCGACCGTGTTAAATCTCTTCGTGTATCCACAGTGCATTACAATGTTTAAAATATAAGGAACGTGTACGGTCTGGTTGCGCCATTTTAAACAAATTTCGTAGGTGGAGCCCTTTTTCGTGTTATCGCTCGGTAGGTTTTTCTATCATTGCGTTCTACAAAGAGGAATCTTAAAGTTCTTTTCTCGTCCGATCATTCCGAACCAAATTATAACATTATATTACAAACGGTGACGCGTTGGCCTACGACAGAAATTGTTATTCCCATCGAACGATTCCTTAAGTACGTTTCAACTATAACGCACTGTTTGCCAAAAAATGATAAGATCACCAGCGGTGGATAAAGTGCTTGTAAAATATTTGTGTATCCAGTGTCTCGCGACGAACAGCCCGCCCCTGATCCGCAGGAACAGTTTATAAACACGTCTGGCTGCAGGACAGGTTTCAAGCGTATCCGTCGGGATTATAAATGCAAATGCAGTTACCGTTTAATTCCTGTCACTATCAAGAACGGTGGTCCGCGGGAGGCAGAGTCGCGCGCGCGGCGAAGAAGCGAAAAATCCTGGCCGACGTCGGCCGTAAAATCCTGCGAACATATTTTCGAGGCAATAACACGAAAGAAATAATTTCCTCACGCACGACAATAAAACCACCGTCGTCCAGAAGGGCAGTAAAAAGCCGGGCCGCCCTATATCCTCCATATCAGTAAAACCCCTAACGCGGTGGCCCTCGTTAAAAGTTACGATCGCGGGCCGAAAAATCGGCGGAGAACGCGGAGGGCAGGGCCGTCGCTCCGCGCGGGCAGCGTATTTCTCGCGGGTTCAATTAAACAGATTCCACGGGCTCGGTGTTCGTTATCCCGTATTCCTTCCGGGTAAATGAAAAACACCGAAAGAAACGACGGGGCGAGGCGAGACGGGGCACGGCACGCTGATGCACGCCGGCCGAGCACATTTTAATCATCGCAATTTCGCACGCCTCCGGGAACGTGACAGCGGATACGTCCGCGTAAATGAAAACGGGGCCGTGTTGCGCCCCAGTGCGGTACGCGTCCGAACCCGGCAATTAAAGGGTTTATAAAACACGATACTAAGCATTCGCGCGAGCGAGCCCAACCGTCGCGCCCATCCTGGCCCCGGGGCCGGGAGGGGGGAGGGGAATTAATCTGTCTTTTTTCCACGGGTCACGCCGCGGCTCGTAATGATTAAAGGTTCAAAGAGCCCCGCCGGCTACGTTTCCCGCTGACCGGCGTGGTTCGCGCGGCAACACGTTTTCTTTTACGGACCGAGCCGCGTTTCATCGGAGCCTGTTTAATTATCTCCGCGGTATTTGCATCGCGATCTTAAGAATGTCGGTTATTATTATGCGCCGCTGGTTACGGCCGACGGCTAATGGCGCCCAACCAGACCGAGGTGACGAGCCCGAGCTTCGCATAACCCCCATATTTCCCGATATTTCCATCGAATACGGCCGACTTCTTCTGCCCCGGATTTCTCGTATCTTAATTAAATCGCGTCTGCCGCCAGCCGGCCAGAGCCACGCCTGCCGAGATTCCCGGTACACCGCGCGGACGACGACAACGAAACAAAAATTTTAGCGAACCCATCGGCCATCCAGATGGCTTCGATAGTCTACAATCAATCGCGAGAGGAATTTTCGATGGCTTTCCGATACCGCTGGCGTGGAGTTTGCTCAAACCCGTGCAGAACGCGTGGAATTAGGCGATGTTTCGAGTCAGCATTTCAATAATTATGTTGACTTCCGATGGTTTTCTGGCGGTCACGCTATGTGGATCTTGATCGAATTCGTACTTGATGCAGAACGGTGCAAAATTAGCGACGTTCCTGTCGACTGGATTATTTGGTTGAGTTATTTGATCGTTTTCAACTATCGGCGCGTGATAAATTATATAAAAAGTAGAACGTACTGCAAAAATGCATGTAAAATTAGACGATGTTACTGTCACCGTTTGAATGATTTTGTTGACAGACTTTCGACGGTTTTCTGACGAATGCGCGACGTGAATTTTCCCCAAACTCGAATCCGATTCAGAACATATTAAACTTGGTGCTTCGATTAGCATTTCAATCCGCAATAATTTGAACGATTTAAAAGCAATGGATCGTTTTAATTCTTCCACTATCTAACATCGCACTGCCAAATTTTTGTCGTAAATGCATCAAATTGCTACTAATTACCAACGCTGCCGAACGTTCTCCTGCATTTCTGTTGTAATAGTTATCCCAGCTGTAATTACCGCTTCGCAAAACCGAAACCCGTCGTCAGCAGTACGGAAATGTATCCGTTTACAACCATGAAATGATTAGTCGAATTGCGTTTACCCTAAGCAGCGTGCCGGATTCAGACGTCAAAACTTCCGCGGAACCTGTTAATAATTTCGCGCGACGACGCGAATAAATATTCGTCCGGGGGGGTGGGGACTCTTTAATTCGCTTGTAAATAGCGTCGGCAAACGCTAGGACGAAATAAGATCGCGCGGCAACATCGCCGACGAGCAAATGTTTAATTAATTAGGAAAATGCGCGGTGCGGTGCCGCGGCTTAACTCGCCGGAGCACGGTAAACTCTCTGTCGAACAGCCCGGTCGTGCCGCAGTTGTCGGATGAAAATGTTGAATTCGTTAGAGCGTTCCGAACGAACGTAAATTGTAAAATGATCCGGCTGAATGTACGACACGGTCCCTGAACGATATGGAGAACGTTATGGTAACGCAAATCGTGGCCGCAATGATATCGTTCCGCCGGCGTGCTTGCTCGTAACGCGACAGTTTTGTATCGAGGAACAATAGCGGCCGGGGAAAGAAACGTATTTTCCCTGGAATCAGCGTGTATCGGTGCCAGGTTTTTAAACGGAATGGGAACATAACAGTTCCGAGTACTTTTTCAATTATCTACCGGGGAGGCCGGTATAAGGAAAAGAGTTTCGAAGAGAAATATTATCGGAGCGGGTCCGCCACGGCGAAACTTTCAGCGGAATAGAATTTTAATTGCCGCGACAAGGTAATGAATCTTCGTGATTCAGCTAGCTGTGATTCTTCGTGTCGCGAGCTGTTTAAAAGTTTCAAATTATATTGCCTCTTTGACAGTCTGCTCGTGCCGATATTGATTTTCGGAGCTCGCCGGACTGTCTGATCAGCGGTCGATTATTCCACTTGTATG